CTCTCTCTCTCTCTCTCTCTCTCTCTCTCTCTCTCTCACCACCCCCACCCCGCCCAAATCTTTTCTCTCTTTCCAAACACTTTTCCAGGGGCTTTCTAACTCATTTTGCTAAAAGTCATAAAGACAATTACATTGTATTGGGTAATGAATGTTGATATCCATTTGGGTGGTGAATAGTTCAACATTCTACAAGATCATAGATGATCTGCACCATGCTAATGACCTTTTGTAACAGAGAGTTCATTATATTAAAATATATAGATGAGAATAATGTTATGCTATAATCATTCCCTGGAAATAAGCAACTGCAGAGTATTTTATGTGCTTATTGCCCAGGAAATAAACACATATTACCCAAGTATTTACCCAGGTAAATATTGGAAGGATGAAGCTATTTGCATCAAATATTTCCTATACCATGCCAAGATGGAGTGACCATTGAACATGAAACATTTAAGAGCCAACTTTTATTTTTTTTACCTAAAAATTACAATACTGTAATATGTTTAAAATTTAAGGGCTGTATTAAATTTTTTAAAGCTCACTTCCAAAATATATTATTCTAAATAAAATAACCCAATGAAGGCAAACTTGAGTAAAAATTAAAGAAAAGTAAAGTAGGAGATGGAAGGTTGTAATTTTCTTATTTACCTAACACTATTACTTATGGTTTGTTCTGGGTAAAAATTAGGAACAAAGTTCTACCCACCACACAAAGCTTACATATATTCATTTCTCATAGAATGTTACAATTTCTTGATAAACATTTCATGTCCAATTCTGTTGTCACTTTTCTGGGTAGTTTTATAGTCTTCTAATGCCAAGAAGTTGGCAAGATAGAGGAAGTGGGCAGGAAATTCTCAATCAAATTGAAAATACTAATTTAGGCTCCCAGATATGAAATTGTAATGGGTAAAATCTTCTGCATTAATCCTTTTAAAAACATGTATATAATTATTTGTGGAATAGAAATAGCTTATTGATAGCAAAGGACAGAAGGTCCCACCTTCTGCCTCATAATAGCCACGCATGATTATCAGCTTTCTTCACATACCTGTAAATATATATTGGACATGTCTACTGCACAGGTATGTTGTGGGAATCAAATAAGAGAGTCCCTAGAAGAAGCTTTAAAAAGGAAATATCTACAGAAAGATTCTGAAAAAGGATACTCCTTTGACTAGCAGCTAAAACTATCTCCAGAACATCAAATCAACAAATTGTCAAAATTTTGTAAAACTGGCTAAGGCCCAGTTTTACTTTACATACACACACACACAACACACACACACACATATGCATGTATATATACATGTATCAAACCAAACTGGCCACCTTTACTTAAAAGTAATCTAAAATGTTTAGGCCATTTAAGGGATATTAGACATTATTTAATTCACCTGCCTTATTTTACAGATGAGAAAACAGTTATGCACATATTTAGGCCTCCTTCCCAAAGGAGGTGAAATTTGGAATTAGAGACTAGAAAACATTCCTCTTTTTAGGCACAAAGCATATATATGCATAAATGTGTGTACACATATGTATATGTGTGTGTATATATATGTCCTAAACAGATGATATTACTATTTCATTGGGTGGTTATTACGAAAACAATATCAAAAAAGGCTTCCCTCATAGTGATGATAAAAACACACTAAGCCAAACCTATATTGAGGGTCCAAATATCCTAATTAAATATGGTGCCCATTCCAGTATCCTACAGCAATCATAAACTTTCTATACCTTGGAATTAATTATACAACTCTGCATACATAACCATTTGTCCTTAAGAACAGAATGCTGTCATGAAGTTATTATTTTAAATTGATAACCAAATCATTACTTGTAGCATAATATCAATAGGTGCTATTATTCTGGAAACAATGTGTAGAAGTAATAAAACTCGAAACATGTTTATTCTTGAATGGATTGGGCTCACCTGGCTTCAGGCTGGGATAGGGCAGGGGTGACAAAGGCTGGGATATGAGTGGCTACTTTAGGGATTGAAGGTCTTATGACTTGAGCAACAGAGAATGGTCAGACTAAAGTGATTCATTAGCTTTAACTGCTTTTAATCTCACAGTATATAATTCCAAACAAATTCTTAACATAAGAATCAAGAGATCCAATCAAGAGAAATAAATCCCATTATATAATCTTACCTAGGTGCTTATAGAAATATTTTACTATATTTTCTAATACAGAGATTAATTATAGAATCATAGAATTCCAGAATTGGAAATAATTTGAAATTAGTCAAACCTCTTGTTATATGCATGAAAAAACTGGATCCTAAGAATTACAATATTGTGACATAGAGTTTTCCATCCCACAGAGATATATCAGGGATGCAATAATTACCCAAGAGCTTGTTAATACTCAAAAATAAGAGAATACATGGCTTAAATGAGCCTGTAAGTTTCTTATCGTCAAAAGTAATTGGAACTATTATTTAGGGTTTTCAAAGATTTGAGCATGAAAACTGCAGAATTATAATAGTTCATGACATATTGTTTCATTCATATACATGAGAGTTTCCAGTGATGTTCTGGTGTTACAAGTATTCCTGAATTCACTTATGACAGAAACAAAGCTACAAAAAATATGACAGCCATTATCAGGAAGCCAAATGCCTTTTTTCCAAGCATAAGCACAACATTTATAATTATTGAATAAAGACAGATGTTTAAAATAAGGTAAAATTAAGATAAAGGAGACAATGGTTATTATCATCTACATCCATGCAGGAAAAGCTAGGATATCTACCTAAATTACACTGAAATAGATCTTCTTTTTTGCATGAAAAGTTACTTAATCTGGAGCTCCTAAACACACACACACACACACACACACACACACACACAGAAATCACAAAAAATCAAGCCATTTAGGGTGTCTAGAGTATTACGATATTTTTATACTGCTATGTATATGGGCAGTTTAAGAAAACCACATTGGATCTAAGCAAGTTCAAATCTACATTCAATATTGGATCTACAACTTTATTGCTGTGCTCCAAATAACAGAAACGGAATAAATAACATAGTAGTAGTATCAAAGAAAATTACTTTCTGAGTTGTTTGCCCCATACTAAAATGATGGGGCTTGCAGGTTAGATGAGCAAAGAAAAGGCCATAATTACATAACACAGTAGAAGTGGCACAATTTAGAAATTAAAATAGTACTTAGAGCACGTAATCAGTTATTCTTTAGTATGAACTCTGATTCAATTGATTTTTCTTGGTATTGAGGGGCTAAATGAATGATGGAATCACCTGTAAGAACATTTTGGGACAGACTTTTTTTTAAAAAAAGCTATGCTACTCAACTACCGTGATAAGAGAAAAACGGAGAGCTTGTTGACTATTTCTGACTTCAGACGTGAAAAGTAAATAAACTGGTTGTTTAACGGTTTTCTAATCATCAGTCACTGCTGTGAGTTAGTCACTTCCTCTCCCAGAAGCAGAATATGTGGATTAGGACATTTATCTTTCAGAAATATTAATGTTTATACTTCTAAGCAACAGAGACAGAAATGCTGCTACTAATTAATTTATGTACTCTAAATTATAATACTTAGTCATAAAGTATACTTCCAACATCTAAAATCATATGATTTTAGCAATTTTGTTGATAAAGTTTTAGCATTGCTCAGCATTCATGGTTAGTTAATAATTTTAAAAAGCGATTTGAAACATTAAAGATATAACACAGGCTTAGTACATTTTAAAAACAATTAACCAAGTAAATGTTTTAAATTAGAATTGTTTCAAGATTGCCAAGAAAAAATTCTTCCCAAAACCACTGTTATAAAATATTTCATCTAATTATGAGAGATGCCATAAAGTGAAGTCCAAACAAACTAATAAATCCTCAGAAAATTTCTCACTTTGATCTTCTGGAGAGGGAGGGCAGGGGTTTCTTCAGGGTTTATAATAACAATGTCATTTGTCATAGGGAATCATATTTTATAATTTCACGGGAGAGTAGGAGAAGAGGGGTGCATGGTATGAGGAAGAGGGTTATATTCACAATTAGAACTGTGAAATGCTAAACTCTATTATGAAGACAAATAGGAAAGTACAACTTCATTGTTGAAAACAATTTCTCTCCTATCAGTCCAAGGATTCGTGCATCAATATTGTAGATGAACTGTTAATTACAAAATCAATTAAAAATTATTTCTAAAAACAGTCACGCGTCCCTGGCTCTCATGGGGGCAATTTGGGCAGAAGGTCTCATCTCACTAGGACCGCGCCAAATCACAAAGTCGTCATCCACAAGTAAGCAAAAGCAATCTGGTTTTTCATTTTTCAGCGCGGCTGAGCCCAGCCTGAGATTGATCGTCACATATGGCCCCAGAAAACAAACTGTCAATACCTTGAATGCTGCAGAATTTGAACAAATAGCCGTCCGCCCATTCAAGCCACTCATTGCATCCCATTTAACAGATTTTATTGACAGTTTCCTTCTTGTAATTAAAGGGAAAACTACTGGCCGGCAACCAAGATAAAGTTCAAAGATAGGGTCAAAACAAAAGCAGATGGAGGGGCACGGTGTGACTGTCAATGGTACCTAGCATCAGAGCATGTTATTGACACACAGGTATCTAATGATCGGCACATCATTAAGGAGGGATCTATCCTGAACTTTATGCAAATGCTAAAAGAGACTTAAGACCATAATAAAGCATTAAGAGAGGCACAAAGGGAAAAACAACAAAGCACCAACGATTTTTACTTATCAGAGGTTGCTCTCTATTTTAGCACCTTTCAGTTCAAATGTACGGAACAGTTTTTCCCGTAATTCTTAACCCTTACTGCATAGGCAGAATTTGACTTCGACTTCTAAAGAACTCTGGAATGTAAGAAAATAGTAATCTTTGATAACCCAAACTCAAAGCAACATGAAATATATTTTCCCAATTGCATAATTTGCGTTTTTGAGGGAAAAATGGTTTGTGTGTATCAATTCCCTTGTTTTAACTTAGGTGTAAAAGACAATGGAGCTAATTTTGTCCCGGGAGTGTCCACTTATGCTATTCCTACAGAAGCTTTTGCTTTGCTATGATTCAAATTAGTAGATGCATTAGTTGATAAAAGTTTCAAAGCATTCAATAAGCAAGTCAAATGAAACTAATTCAAGTATATTTTTCCTATTTCTAACTTCCCACTAGAAAGTGATACTGGTTATAATTTTTATAATTTTGCTGACTCATACAAAATTTACAGACTAGGTCTAGCAAATCCCTAAAGAAGGTAAGGAGAGGGATAAAACTGACATATAATAAAATATAACAATGACCATGTCGATATGCCAACCTGAATTAGCAAGAGCTATAGCTTTGAGGGTGACAAATTCTTCTTTCTCCAGCTTCATGCTCTTGTATTTCTTTACCAGCTGCAGGATAGCATTATTTAGATCAAGAAGGCCTGCTAATTTGGACTGGTCTTCGTCCATTATATAATCGTCTGCATAGACAAGTTCATCCTCAAAGGAAAGAGATCGGTATACGACACCAAGGATCAAAATTTCCATCCAAGCACTCTGCAGAAGGCTCATCTGGTCCGCCAGGGACAGCGTGGAGAAGCCTGCATGGAAAAATGGGCAGATCAAGTTACTTTAAAGCCATAATTTCATAATGCAACATTAGTTTCATATGGTAGCCGGCTTCTGCATCACTGCTCAAAATTATGCTGAGCTTTGATTAGAAGCTCTTAAAATTTTCCCTGAATCACTCTGCAAACAGCAAAATGAAAGTCACAAACCAGCTTTTTCAATTTGTGAGTATTTTCTATAAGCTTTATAGACACAGCTTAGGGGAATATAATAGAAATGTAGTTTTCTTTCATTTGAGAAGAAAATACCATGAAATTTTTATACTTGATTTCTGGTGCAAGTCATCTATCTCATCTCTAAAAACTACTATTGATAAACAGAATGAAAGTTAAAAAAAAAAAGCTAAAAAACAAAGGTAAACAAACAATTTAGGCCACAGAGCTCAGCACACCATGGAAACATTTCTATATGATATTAATAGTTACAAACACAATGGATAATGAGTTACAACTAGGGAAGCTTTCTTGATTGGCTATTTCCCCCCACTGATATTTAATATGAATTTCCTTTAAAATTAGTGATAATTGGCATAAAAGAAAGTGGAATACTTAGCAGCCTGGCCTCCTCACCAAATAGAAAAGCCCCATTCACTATTGTTATTAAGATCCAGATATTTAAAAAATTAAATATAAATGTAGCAGGGTTTGGTGCCAAGGAGTCAGATTCTGAATGTAAATATTGGCTCCAATTAGCTACTGGCTCTTTCACCCTAAGCAAGACAAATTAACTTGTATCTTAAATTTTGTATTTGGGAAATATAAAATATCACCTACCTAAACATTAAGTTTAACATGCAATTAATTAAGTGCTGTATTATTAATATGTTATTTTTATCTGACTTATCTAGCTGATCAATTCTTTTCTGCAAATCTGGGATGCATTCACACATGCACATTTAAAGTCCTTTCTGAGCTGGAGAAAACATATGCAAAAAAATTAAAACAAAAATGTTCAATAGAGAAAGATGAAGCAGTGCAATTGAGGCTACTTGGGAGTGAAGATGTATATTTATATGTCAGAGAGACTAGATCTGTATTCTAAAGTGAAGATACTTGATGATCAGATGCTTTTCCCAAGTCCTAAAAAGCAAATGCTACTTAAAACTTCACTTTTATTTCCAAGTATATACCTAAGACTTCTAACGGTAACCCCCCACCCCATGGTTTCTGAGGAGAGTGTTGCCATCATTTAAGGTCCTGCCACCAGTAATTCTACAGGAAAGGAGGATCATTTTTAATAATGCAATTTAAGACATCTATTTTTGCTCCCTTTCTAGACATTATTTCCCACATCATAAATACCCACTGATGCCCAGCCTTTTTAGGCTGCTGCTGATGGTCACTGTTGCTGTCCTTTTCATTCATATCAAATTGTGCATATCCCATATGATACTAGAAACTGCAGCACGGTAAAGAAAAGGAAATGATTTCCTGACCTATTGGTGAAAACTAGTGGTTTGCCATTTGGTACCATTAATTATAAGCGCTTAATAAAATCATCAGACGGGACGAGTCAAGCTTTTCTTAAGGGAGTCTTTAGGGCATATTTAAAAAATGCATTTCTTTCATTGTTTATTAAGGTGCTTACACATTATGTGACAGGATTTCTTTTGGACTGGCTGTGTAAGTCTTTTTTCTTATTCTGTTTTTGTCATTGCATTTGGGGTTAAATTAATAAATATCCTTTTAGAGATATAATAGAGGATAACATTTTAAACAGTGATTCAACAGAGAAAGTATTTAACCTGAATAGGTTTGGCTGCAGGTGATTTTAATTTTAACAATGTTATATTCACAATAAACAGAAAACCACACTGCTCTTTTTTCTATCCCCTTCCAAGGAAAAAAGGTGAAATGTAAATCCAAATATCTACCTCAAGAAAACATACTAAGTAGGAATTTCTTGTGTAAATTAAAAGATCAAAAAATCATCTAGAAAGTTATGAGCAAAAAAGGAATGCATCTTTTCAATTGGCCGGAGTTTTCTTGTTCCTTTTCATGCTCCCAAGCCGCAGTTTTTCTGCAGCAGCAGATGGACAGAGCGTGTAGCCTGCAGCACCTTCCTGTGACAGCCCTATTCTCCCTCCCAGACACTGCTGTTAGTAAATAGATTTACACATTCTCCAATCTCCACACATCTTTCTGCCGAATAATTAAAAGCAGGATGATTAGTTTATTGAGTGGAAGGAGGAACTTTTTTATTGAGGTCCATCCACGATTTTATCAGGGCCAGCACTTTTACGGTTGTCAGGGGGGTGCAGGCATCCAATTTTTCTTATCTGCCTGATTAATACAAACGCTGTTTCAGGACGCATTAATTAACAGATACAAATCTACGTTCTCATGGAAGGATCAATACGGAGAAGAAAAGAGGCATCAATGTGAATTTAGTGCTGATGATGGAGAAGGCACGCTATCGACATTTACGTGCACGGAAACTTTAAAGTTGCACCAGGCCCCCTTTGTCCCTGTGATTTACAAATTAACAATGTTCCAGCCATAACAACATTTCACACATTGCTTTGGGGTTTAATTAAGCAAAAAAATAAAATTTCATTTTTAAAGTTGATCCTGCAATTTGTTCTATATTGATGCCTCTGTGTGTGTGTATGTGTGTGTGTGTGTGTGTGTGTGTGTGTGTGTGTGTGTGTGTGTGTGTGTGTGTGTTTATCCCTCCTGTATAACTTTTTTCTTTTGCTTTTCTATGAAATAAAGAGAAATAAGGAAAAAAGGTGAAGAAAAGCCTCTTTTTTTTTTTTTTGTCACGGAGCATGAAGAGATGGATATAGCACAAAAGGTTTGACAAGTTTGCTTGCTTGATAACCTCAAGTATATTTCAGCTGATTAAAGGAAGTATAATTTTTGCAAATCCATGGGAAAAAGAACAATCCATGCTTTCAAAAATAAAAGTCTGAACTTCTATCTTTTCTTGGTCTAGAAATTACTGTCTCATTTTAACCCTTTCCTACCACATCACCGAAATCTGGAAGCTAGTACAAAGCACTCTCCTGCCCAAATTCCTGAGCAGCAGTTAGACGGACTTGTTAGGAGATAGTCATGTTCACCTGGTCACTAAGGAGGCCAAATACATAACAGAGATTTTATCTATCTTAATTCCATAAAATTATTTTACCTCTCCTTTAGGAGTGCTAGCTATATTGCACATACATAAAAACACATGGATAAAATAACGTTTTTATCAATAGACCTGAGCACTGTATAAAATTGTAAATAAAGCCTAAATGAAAATGCATGTTTTAATAAGCTGAGTCTAAGAAATTTTCTTAAAACATAATTGCTCTATTGGCTTACACATGCTCATATCCAAATGATAATTACTTGTTTGTGTTTTTATCAGGCATTTAACGGTATTTTATAGCTCTTGGCCTATAAGTTAGAGGTCTTCATCATCTGTGATATTTAGCTATCTTTGGAGGGAAACCTCCTTCCCAAGTGAAATAAAATATGCTTTGCAGTTGTCCCGTGTGAACTTCATGTTTTGTACATCCTGGGATCTTAATCTTTGGCATGTGACAGGTTATAGTTTTAAATGTTCAGCCGTATTATAGCTTTTTAAAATACACTGATACCATGGCACATTTTTTCTTCCCCAGCTACAGCCCATTCCGTGCATATCACTGACAACTCGGATCTCTCTTCATCTCTGTCCCAGAGTCAGTGCCATTTAATGTATCTCAGGCATTCTGCTAGCAGAATGACTCTCTACCTTGACCCACAGTTAAATAGCATGTTTATCTGCAATGCAGTGTGCTCCAAATAAACCAGATGACAGTTGGGAATATCATCATTTGGAAGGATTGAAAAGCTTCTCGAGAGGCAGGTACCCCTGAGGTAATAGGCTTGAAGAAAGCATGTTTTGTGCCAGCGTCTTGCCTTCTTCTACTGGAAACTTCGGAGGTTGACAGTGGTGCCATGGGCACTCATCAAGCACTCTTTTTTTAGCCTGGCAAACTGATGCACTTTGCAGTCAACTTACAAAAAAGGCTAAGCATTTGAAAGTGTGAAGGGCAAAAAATATCTGACGGCTAGTCTTCAAAAATACACTTTCATTTCAGAAAGCATAAATGTTTATTTCCTGAACAAAGTGTTGACAGAAATAGGCTGCAGCGCAGGCATTTGGGTTTAACCCCTGCTAGGCATTTTCTTCTCGGCTGCTCTCTTGAAATAGAGAGCAAGCATTTTAAATCTTCAGGGCGTCTGTTAATATCAGTGAATCATGGCATTGAATTGCCTGATCACAGTTTTTGAACTGTAGTTTTTCTGTTCCACAAAAAAAAATAAAATAAAATAACATTTTTCAACAAATAGCATCTCATGCTAGAATTTTAATTATGCCATAATGACTCACTGAGATCACAAACGAAGTTCATTTTGAGAAGCTGATTGAGCAACGTGTCATAAGCTAGATTTTCTCTCCCATACAAATAAACCTAATGTTTACAGGAAACAGAGAAGAAAAGAGTAACAGTGGCACTAACATTTGTTAGTGCTACCAATAGACACACAGATGCATAACCCTTGTTAGAGATCAACTTATTTTGTATTTTTAAGCCAGATGTTCTTGTCACATATGGGGCAGACATACCACTTTGTCCTATGATTCACAAAACACACAGCTCAGAGGCTTCTTGGAAACTTATATATATATATATACACACACACACACACACACACACACACACACACACACACACATATATATATATGTCTCTTACAGGAGACTTTACATATATATCTACACTTTTTTTCATAAACTGGAACTCAGTAGGAGCTAAACAGCTACAGATGGTTAACTGCTGAAGTGAAAGCTGGAACATCTACATGGTGCTATCAGAAGCATTTTATTTAAAATTTTTCTTTAAAAGGGATAATTATATTGTTTGTACTTAAACTTTAGATACAATACCTATACTATTCTTTGAATCTTTACTCTTTTGAGCTGACCATGATTC